ACATCAACCCACACGAGCTTTGGTTCTGAGACAGCGATTGTTGAACACCGCTGCTCGAACAGGCCAAGTCTCATTCTAGTTTGATACACACCTCCCTTGAGATTCAGAGATACACCACTTTGACGCCAGTGGTATCTCAAATTAGCAAACTTGACCCGATCCTTGCAGATTCGTGCATCGACCTCATCTGTCACAGTAAAATGAAAACTAATACAACTTCAAAGATATGTAAAAGCGCTCCACAACTCCCAGTACCCCTTCCTGGATTGTAAGTGGCATGTTCAGTGCCCGAATGTCCAGGAGCACGACAGACAAGGACAACTGAGGCGGGTTGTGTCGCTCCCGCACAATTCGCGCGGATAATTCACACCGTTAGATACGGCTTTGAACCGGAGAGTTCGGAAATAACGTCAAAAAAGCGCAGTCATTTAGTTTGCTCATTGAAACGAGATTTCGGCAGTGTGATTCGTTACCTGAACAGGTACAACATGCAGTAGCAATCAACTTAGTTACCTAAGAGCGAAAACTGATATTCGGAGGTTGTAAACCGAACGTTCACGTGTCCCATCTCTCTAGGCCAAGCTGACCGGTCCCTACAGGGGCCTCAGAATGGGCCCATATGTTTTCAGTAAATCTCTAATGAACTTCAAGTTCACTACTTGACAATCGCCATGCCCGTCCGATTGTTTATTGACCGTTCGGCTAAGACTCCCTGAATGGTTCTCAGCTTTCAGTTTACTGTCTGGATTGGTCATCAGGTCTAATTATAGATTTTATTGTTTAAATACGGTTACCAAGATTCCTCGGCGCACTTTTTAAGGAAAGAAACTACCGGTACACATACAATAATCGTGGATTACGCTAATTTATATAGCAGTTCATTATTCTTTCTTATGGAGGTATCCGATGAAGAAAAAACTGATTTTCACCTACTTGCTTAACAGGTTCACCTCGACGAACGGCATTTACGGCTTCCACGACATCCATAACTTGAGGATAGAGATAATAGTTGAATTGCACTTTGGGATCCATAAGTACATTCTCCTCCTGTTTAACCATTTGTCTCAAACGCGAACCGTTGATTTCCGGTCCGGTGTACATGGCATTCAGCTTGCGAAAATAAGTCTCTGCCATGGCAACCGACTCGGAGTCCTCGTTGACCCATGGCCTCAAGGTCAAATCATATTGATTCGTGCTCGGGTCCAGTAGGTCAGTGACATTTTCCGGTGGCCAGGGACAACGACCTATGCTATTCCGTTTTCTGGCCTGATAAACACATCGATCAAACTGCCGGCGAGTCAGAACGCGCCGCGATTCGCCGTCGATAGATACGGCAAGGTGGACGACTTCGGGTTGTGTGCGAGGAATCATGTCCACTTTTGAAGGATGCTGTTGATTATTACTCCACATGCTAAGAATTCCAAAAGTGCAGATGGCCATGAAGGACACAATGACGATTCGACGGCGCAAAGTGATGAACAGGAGAAGAGGTTTTGCGTGTAACATGTGGCGTGGCGATCGTTGGAGTCGAGCGGAAGCACAAGTTATTCCTTTTGCAAACTGTGTTTGTGTGAACTCTAAAAACACCGGATGTCGCACCTGATTGGACGACGCCTTTCTTCATACACGATAGGTCACAGTCCGACCAAGCTGTCCTCGCTAGCATTTTGTACTTATTCGGATTAAGTTTTCGCCACTTGGTGCACTCGCTTCACACAATTTGTTCTGGCCAATCTTTTCAACATCACTTGTTTCTACGATTGTTTGTCTCGACCACCATGTTTGTTTTCAATATACGGTAAGATTGGTTGGTAAAACCAGGCAGCAAAACAACTGCTTGGTGCACTAGTAATCGGGGGCGAGATGGTTCATTGGTTAGACTGCGAATTTGCTGACCGAATGGTCCGCGGTTGGAACCCGACATCCGGCATTCTACTCGCCCTGTCTAGGCTTGAGCAAACTGGCAGTATCCCAGCCCTCGTGATTCCTTCTAGTGTGGCATGGCAGTTAGGCTACAGCTGAGCGAACCAGTTGTACTTCAAGAATGTAATATAATCTTAGGCGCCAACCTGATGAAGGATCAATTTTATGCAATTCAGTTATACTACTCATTGTACTAGCCCAAGTACTGTGCAAAATCTTTTTTGCATTCCTTCAAACTCTTTTAAATTAAAACGCTTGCATCTCCAGTCATTTTTGCTTCAATTAGGTGATCGTTTAATTTTTGATAACCCTTACATTTTCGAACCTAGAAGATGATTTTCTGGACCTTGGAATAGGGATTCTGAGTGCGGTGCATAGCTTGAACAAAAGGCAAACCTGAACAGATACTCGAACCGCCGGCCCCCCGATCACCCAAAAATAGACTTTGGTGTATTTTGTCCGTCCCAAGGCGTTCGTTTTTTTCAGTTCAGCCCACGTCCAGTCCTTTTTACTGCCTGAGAACTTCCACAGAATCCCTCTTGACAGCTGGACGATTCATAGTCTGCCTCTTCATGGAGATAACACCACGGGGTCACTGACTGCACCGTCAGATATCAGAGATTATTCGAGCTGGCAGCTTGAACCTCTAAACGTTCGACCACCAGAGGTAAAATAGTAGTGCTTACGCTTGAAGTTACTTTTAAGGTTGGTGATTCGAAAGGACGAGAAATACGGTTTTTCGAAGTGCCCAGGACCTCACTAATGAGTTAGAAAGTGCTGTCTTAAGAATGATCGGTTGGGTTCTGCGGATTGGCGTTCAGTTTTCACAACGTCCTGCGTCGGAAGGTACTCTTCCCCCGATTCGAACCACCCCTGTTTTGCATTGAGACTGTTGATTATGTCTGCCCAACAGTCACGTGATGGGCAACTCACTGGGTCCACTTCCAGTTGGATTTTTAAAAAATGGAAATTGAGACGTTGCTCACCCAATGTACTTTCACTCTCACTAGTTGGATTATACTATGGACATGTTTGGAAACGTGAAGCACCTTCATCTGTTCATCATTCAATCAGATCTTTCTGTAACACTTGAGATGGAAGTCATTTGGACATCATGATGACACGTGGTGCTGATGGATCTGTTAAACGGAGCATCTACGGAAAACCCAGGCGGACACACATATACACCGTTTCAGTTTCTAATTGCCATGCCACCCGAAGGTTGCACGAGGGCTGGGATACTGCCAGGTTGCCCAAGCCTAGACAGGAGAAGTCGAGAGGCAGAGGTTGGATTCGAACCACGGACCTTCCTATCAGTAAATTCGCGCTTGTTCAGTTCCACCCCTCTAAACTACAAACAGAACGTGATAAAATCGTTGTTCACATGAGGATGACTGATCTCTACATCAGACTAAGTTGCCGATGAATCAGAGCTACTCCAAGATCTTGAAAGAACAGCTATTCTTCGTGTTTTGTTGGGAAATTGTGAGCTAATTGTGAGCTCGACTCAGTCCACAGGGCACTGCATCTAAGATACCGACCTACTCAGATCTAGCTTTTACAGAAGACAGCACGATGACACCGGTTGGAGCGCTGATGGCGGCAAAACAGACCCACACGTCGTCAACCGGATTCACAGACTGGGACTACTTCCAATCAAAATAAACCAATTTCTTCCAATCAAATCACTTTTTGCCCACCAAATTGCATACAAGTGTGGTGAAACTTAGATTGAAAGAACCGATTGGTGAGAGAGCACGTGCCACTTGAGCCCGAAATGGACTTTTGTCGAATTATCGTCCGGTTGAATCGCGGGAGTAAGATACCACAGATAGACTCGCCATAGACCAAAAACGAAGTGTCACCTCAGCGCACATCAAGCATCCTTCTTGGCCCGCGAAAATCACGTGCTCCGAAGGTTGTCGAGATTGCTTAGATAAATCAACCATACACTTTGTTTGCATTTACAACCAACTTGACCGTTAGGCTGACCTAGGTTTGATGACGCAATGGGTCATCGGTTTTGTCCAGTCGGCTGACCTGTACGATTCGTAGTCACGTGATACCCTTTGTTTTAGAAGTTGGTATAACGCAGAAAATAAGCTGGACGGATTCGCATCCCGAAAATAGCATGAGCGGTTGTGGGCTGTCGAAAATATTTCAGTAGTCTTATAAGTAGTGTATTAAGTCTGAACGATTACCATGAATTAATTAATCAGAAGCACGAACACCAACCTCCCGGTAATTGGTGTGACCAGCTCTTACTCTTTTCCACATAAGTCGATCAGGAAAGAAAGAGATTCAACTTGGAGAGTATCCTTATTGCAGCCCATGCAAGAAGAAAGAACGATCGCTGATAGCTGATAGAGTCATCAACGCAGACACAACAAAATCTAGCAATCCATCAAGATAAAGAAACATTGAATCATTCACAATCAAGATACAAAACTCTGAATGAAAATCGTGCCTTTGGAAGCCCACATCCAAGCCAAAGGCGAATTACTGAATCAGAACTACGGAATGAAAGTTGGGTAAGGCAAATAATGACTTGTGAACCAGTTAAGAGTCAAAACACAAAATAGGCGGCAGACCGACCAGTCGAATTTATGAAGAAACCCGCTAACAAAATAGAAGGTAGCCTGTCGACCAGTCAGATAGCAAGAAGCTTAGGTAGAGCGCCACATAAAATGGTGGTAAAATGGACCAATCGAAATAGAAGAAAAATAGCTACCGAAATAGATGTACTGTACGAACCAACCGGTTGCAAGAAAATCAGACCATGTGAGAACCAAAATCCTGAACGGACCAATCAAATTATGGAAAGACCAATCTTCGGGCAACCAATCACGTCTTAGTTGCCAACTAGTCTTCGAAAACTATATAGTCAGAGGAAGAACTTGAGCGACAATCGACCCAACCGCGCACTGACAAGGACCCCTCGCATGATGGCAAAACTCGTTCAGGCCAATGGTATGGCCCACTGAACAGGCCAGCTAGCCCCGGATCAGCAGCCAATAAAGCCAAGCGAGTTACCAGTATTCAGATTGGTGGCAAAATGGTACTAACTAATGTTTCCACTGACCTTATGCGGTGGCTGAGTCCTCAAAATTATGTGACCTCTTAGCCTACTCTGCCTAACCTCTTCGATTTCCTCCTAAATCAAGTGTTTGGAACACGCAAAATACCCCCAAACAGGTTAAACCCGTGTAGTTTGTGGGGTCGATCAATTTGGTTATCTGCCTTACATGACAGCCTGATGGCCTTCGGATATCATGGTCGACCAAAATATACACGCGAGCAGCGGAACTGAGACGTCTTCAAGAGTTCGTGTGGGTAGGTGTCTGCGATTCCATAACTAGAAAGTGGGGAAGCGAGTTTGCGGTTGTACAATGGGTATTTCCATTGAAAAATGTATCCAGCACCAGAAGCTGCGTTGGTTGGCACATGTGTTACGTATGACGAACCATCGTTTGCCGAAGAGAGTGCTGTCTTCCACGCCCAACTCAGAGTGGTGTGAACAGAGAGGTGGCTAACCCTTGACCTGGCAGAGGAGTATGAAGGAGATCACGAAACGTTTGAGTGCTGTCGGTGCTACTCGCCTTCCAGGATGGGGACTGCGTGATCCTCACTGCGTCTGGTTGGAGACACTACAAGATATGGCTGCCAACCGAT